CACCTCTGATCTTCTGAATTTTTTTCAGAAGAGCAGATGCACTTTTTCAGCATTCCTGTAAATCTCGTTTTACAAGGAAGAAGGGATGTTCCAAAAAAGATTTTTTTTCTGACATTTAGCCCAGTGTAGATGGACCAAATGTTGGAAAAGCCTCTTCTGAAAAAAGAAGCGGAAAAAGCTACACAATTTGCACTTCACAATGTGCATAGCTTTTTCTGGAAGAACAGTGTAGTGTAGACATAGCCTGCGTGAGACAGAGTGAAAGAGGGATTGGATACAGGGCCTTTCTCCTCTTGGGGCACTGGATTTGATGTGACCCCAGACCGGCTCAGGGGATTGGGTAAGGGGCTATAGAGCCTCTCACCTCTAGGGGATACCTGACCCCATATAGACCTAAGTCATTCATAACTTCAGGCCATTCACAGCTCTGCTGGTGGACTGAGTTGTGGGCCCCATGCCCTGAGGTGTCTGCATCACACCAACCCAAACAGAGAGGCCAAGGGCTGAAGGGTCCACAGAGAACCACTTCCCCTTCAGAAGGGGGCTACAGCAGGCCATTTGTGGAAGAAGGTCTCCATGCTGCAGCCCCATTTTAGGACAAGTATAATCCAGGGCTACGTCTAGACTGGCATGATTTTCCGGAAATGCTTTTAATGGAAAAGTTTTCCGTTAAAAGCATTTTCGGAAAAGAGCATCTAGATTGGCGCAGAGTTCACGTTATAACAATGCGCTTTTGCAGAAAAGCATCCGTGGCCAATCTAGACGCACTTTTGCGCAAAAAAGCCCCGATAGCCATTTTCATGATCGGGGCTTTTTTGCGGAAAACAAATCTGAGCTGTCTACACTGGCCCTTTTGCGCAAAAGTTTTGCACAAAAGGGACTTTTGCCCGAATGGGAGCAGCATAGTATTTCCGCAAAAAGCACTGATTTCTTACAGTAGGAAGTCAGTGCTTTTGTGGAAATTCAAGCGGCCAGTGAAGACAGCTGGCAAGTTTTTCCAGAAAAATGGCTGATTTTCCGGAAAAACTGGCCAGTCTAGACACAGCCCAAGGGTTTATACTTGGCCTCTCTGTTTGGGTTGGTGTGATGCAGACAATGTTCCCTCTAATCTTTTCCATCCATGTGCAGAATCAATTTTTATGTGCATTGGGGCATGTGTGAATGTGCACCACAAGTAGAAACAAAGAATGTAGCTGTGGTGCTCTGCTGATCAGCTGAGCAGCATTTGAATCTCTCCTCAGACGCTGCAAAGGAGCACAGCTCATAGGGAACACTGCCCAGGACCAGCAGCTCTGAGTTGGTACTGTGACCCTGGCACAACCCAGATCTCATCTCTTCCCTCTCCACTAGATCCTCAGTTACTGTCTCATCCCCCTCTGAATCACTCCAGGTCTCTGGCACATTCTCTGTACCCAGGAGCTTGTCATTCCAATCCCATGAGCTGGGGGATCTCTGGCATTTAGGGAGATTTCCTGCCCCAGCTCAACGCTCCCAGCTTGCAACTATTAGCCAAATAGCAGCAGGTCTCTAGAGCTAAGCAGAGTCCAGCTGAGTCAGTACTAGGTTGGGAGACTTGTACTTCTGGGGGGGCTCCACAAATAGTCCTAGCCAATGACAAACAGCACCCTTTGAGCAGGACAGGGAGCTGACAGAATTGCTGGGCCCAGCGGCAAGGTGGGGGCTGTAGGACTGGGACAGTCAGCTCTCAGTGCTACCTGGCACCAATTTAAAGGGCCTGGAGATGTTGCCACAGTGGTGACCAGAGTCCTGGCAACTTTTGAATTGCCAGGCTCCTCAGCAGGTGCCTCCTTTGCTCCACCATTGGCAGGCCTGGAGCAGGGAGGCTACTTGCCACAACTGGCACACAGTGCACACTCCTTGTGGGACTGCAGATGGCGACCTATGCAAAGGTTCACATCTAGAGTGTGCAGGAACACACACATCAACAGTCACTCAGCTGCACACAATAATTGCACATTCTCCTGATTGCACAATCATATGCAATGCCAATTACACAAACAGAATGCCAATTTCAACACAATCACACTCACCAATTGCACACACACTTATATACACAGCTTGACAACTACACAGACACACACATGCATTGACAATTGTCCATCCCCCCACAATCACACACTATACGTGGGTGCATATTCTGACCAACAAACATCCTCCATTCTCATGCTCCCAGCTGAGTAGCGTGACCTTCCCCCAGATCTCAAGCCTGGAAGCAGGAGTATGGGGGTGCTGTAAGGGAGCAGAGTGGGAACTCTGACTGTGTGGGGAGAGCCAGCTATTCCAGACCTGCAGGGGGCACTGTAGAGAGCAGAACAGGCAAGGGGCGGTTCCCATTCCCAGCTGGGCTGTGTGACTCCAGCAGGCACAGTCTTGCCTCATCCCCACCCTCTTGCCTCTGACGCCAGCACCTGGCAGGGCTGACGCAAGGAGAGAGATTGCTTCATCCCCACTGCCATACACCACAGATGGGCAGGATAAAGGGATACTTTCCACACCCATGACCCTCACATCTCATTCCATGTTCCCCAAGCCTCTCGTCCCCAATGCCTCCCATAGTACTATGCAGCTGGGAGCCATGGCTAGTCCCAGTCCTATGCCCATTACTCAGGAAGTAACCCTGGAGAATCTCAGTTCCCCTGCTCCTGGGAGGAATGAGTGCACACCATTCCCACTTTCAGCCCCAATATTCCAGAGAAGCACCTGGTGCTAGACAGACACTGAGCCTGCCCCGTGTCCCGCTTTCTTCAGCCCAGGCCCAATTGAGGGCTACATCTAGACTGGCATGATTTTCTGCAAATGCTTTTAACGGAAAAGTTTTCCATTAAAAGCATTTGCGGAAAAGAGCGTCTAGATTGGCATGGACGCTTTTCCGCAAAAGCACTTTTTGCGGAAAAACATCCATGCCAATCTAGACGCACTTTTGCGCAAAACAAATCTGAGCCGTCTACACTGGCCCTTTTGGGCAAAAGGACTTTTGCCCGAATGGGAGCAGCATAGTATTTCTGCAAGAAGCACTGATTTCTTACATGAGATCGTCAGTGTTCTTGCGGAAATTCAAGCAGCCAGTGTAGACAGCTGGCAAGTGTTTCCGCAAAAGCAATTGTCAGTCTAGAGACAGCCGAGATGTTTCCAGCCCTTTTCCCCAAATTCCCAGCTGCTTTGTACCTCCCTCTCCACTGGATTTGTTATGCCTCCCCCAACATCCCTGTCTGCTCTCCCCCATAACCCTCCTTGCCCCACACCCTTCTTCTGGCCCCATTCTCCTCAACGCCAGGTCCCCCTCCCATTTATTAATCCAGTCCCCTTTGAATTTGCAGGTGGCTCTGATATCGGGAGGGGGGGGGCAGTTATTTGCTCTCTCCCACACACACTCCTATCCACCTCTCTTCTCCACACCCTCCCATTCTGGCACAGTAGATTCCTTGTGGCTGCCAAAGCAGGAGAGTGGAGCCAGGTTCTCTCGGTTACACAGTGCCAGACCCGCTGCAGGCAGGGAGTGGTGCCAGGGCTTGATGCCACCCTCCAGGCATCCCTGCACCCGGTGCCTTCCCAGCCTCACCCAGACACAGCCTTTTAACCGGGGCCAGCTTTTGGGGGCTGACCCCCACCCTGCCTACAGGAGGTAGTCCGGGGGCTCCCTGCCTGGCCAGCTCTCGGGCAGCCCGGGGCTAGGGGTGGTGGGGAAGGAGGGGACCAGAGAGGGCACGTTCGGGGTGATGGGGCCGGGGGGGGAAGCAGGCTAGAAGGGAAGAC